CTATATTGCCAAATTTATGACTTTTATATGCTCTAGACTCTTGTGTGCCAACTACCGAATAATACAGTTGTTCAACTTACTTCGATTAGTCTTATCTTAATCAAAGCAAGTTGAACAAATATAGCATTCGAGATTTGGCACATAAGAGACTAGTGCTCATTATCCAATCCAGATGTATGAAATTACGCAGCCTCAATCATGCCTTTCCTTGGATGGTTAAATATTAGTGACCTTAGACTGAGGGGTTAGGACAAGTGGTTTCGTAACTTGACTTACACACTTACAAACGTACGTCACATTATCTCAACAATACTTACTTACGAGCTTTCGCAGTCTCGGCCGGGGCTTTCTCTTGGGTCATTAAGCCCTGACATTCGTTTTTTGATCACTGATTTAGGACCTCTATTGCGCATTGACCTCAACACACACACACACGCACACACAAAGTAACAGGGCCAATACGAAAGATAATTAGCCAAACCATGCTATATCCATCTTGGCTTTTTTATTTTCTTCTGCTTAATTGAGTCATATATAAGAGGTAAGATAGAGCCGGATAGTCTTCTTGTCCTAGTGCTAATTTTAGACTTTTACAGGAATGAGACCCAGCTCTGATGATATCCATCATATGATGGACGAAATCTAAGCCAGTTTTAATCAGAAAAGAGGACTATACCAAAATGAACGTCGTATAAAAGCCAAGCGGCGTTCAGTGATTTAATTCGATCCTTGCCACCAAATACGTGCTATTTTAGGAGTTATGTTCTACGCTCTGCCTCAACCCTATGATAGCACGTATCCTACCGCCTCACTGAGCAAACCCCTTAAGTCTGTATTCAAAAATAGCAAAGAATAATAACTTGACGCTGCAGACTCCCTTATCACTATCCCGCATGTGCACCGAGTGAATCTCGTGGTTAGGTGTTTAATTAATGGACCTCGTCCATAATCAAACTCATCTATTAATAGCCAACTATCAATTTTCTCGGCCTCATGTTTAGCTCTTCCATCCATAATGCCAAGTCTAGGACTTTCTTATGCTATAGTCTCTTGTGTGCCGACCCCCAAATGTAAATTTTACTTGATTTGAATAGGCTCACTGTAGACGTCCCTCCTTGGTTTCCTATTGTTCTTCTGTTCTCTCCTTGCGATTTACTTTTCTCAAATTAGAAATATTCTCTTGATCTGGTCGTCTTATTTTTGCTGATTTTGTTGCTCCCTTTACTGCGAGGTTGCTCAAGCAATAGGAAAACTTTTCTTTAATCCTGTCTCCTAATTTCCTCTTCATTAGATTTATTTCAGTCAGGATATCGATGATTTCTAGTATATTGCATTTTCTTGTATTATCACCATTTACAACCGGCTTTTCTGTTGATTTCCAGTCAATTTCATGTCCTGTCAGTGCAATATGTTCCACTATCCATGTATCTGCAGAGTCTTTGGTTTTCCTTGATTCGTAGGCTGATTTATCTTCCTGTTTCACTAATATACTTCTGCTTACACTTGCTACATTTGATGCGATACACTCCCAAACAATCCATTTTCTCGACTTTTTAGATTTGTTTCAGAAAGCTCTTAAGAGTGCTGCTTCTTCCTTTGTCATTACTTAGATATTCCACTTTATGAGTATCGGTCGCAATTGCCCCTCAATTCACAGGAGGGCAAACATACCCATTTATGGTCATCCTGACGATTCCTGATCTTATTTTCATAAAATCCAAATTAAAATATGCTCTTTATTACTCCTATATCCCTTCCTATAAATTATCTGGGGTACCAGTTACTAAGGAGAATCCGAGTCAGTTTCCCCAATTCTTCATCTCAGAACTCACCGTTTGTTAATCTATAGCATCTGAGGATCAAACTACTTAGTATTCTGATCTTCAGTTCAAAGTTGTGATGTAAATGGAAATTGAGGATTATTACTGCATGTGATTACTTTCTGAATAGCATCTTGAATATTACGTTGCAGCGAATAACCTCAAAATACGGAAAAGGTAGCTGCTTATTGTCCCCCACCTCCATTGTGAATTTAATTAGCTAACCAAGTTGGCTCACAAAACTTAGTAATTCATTTAGATTTGTCTTGTCATGCGACCAAAGTTCAAAATAATCATCCAGGTATCGCATAAGCACTCTTGATTACAACAGTGACTTCTCAAATTCTTTTTCCAATTTGTCCATGTATTCATTTTCTAAAACAGGTGAGAGTAGAGATTTAATGAGTAGTCCAATTATTTTCTCATAAATATTGCCGTTAAATGCAATCAGGTTGATCAGCCGTGCTAACGACTCCTTCCGTATCTGTTCTGCTCCCAGAATATCCTCCTATCGTTCCAATACTTCTAACAGGCCGGTGGCTGCCTTTCCTACCTGAGATGTTTGTGTACATGAATTGAACGCCGAAACTTATTAAAAATTCCGTCCCCGCCAGCTCAACGCTTTGGATCCTTAGAGAAAATTCATTTAAATTCTTCAAAGTATCCGAAAGTCTGTCCTTTATATTGTTGAGTCTCAAGAAAATGAATTTCGCTAGCTTATGTCTTGCTCCATAATTGCTGTTGACCCTTAATCTTAGCGGATTTCTTCCTTTGTGTTCCGGTAGCCTGGGGTTCTATCAATTTCCTCCCTGTACTGTTTCTTGCTCATTACCACTATTTGGTCATTCTTTTGTAATTGTTTGCGTATCCCAGTCAATCCGCTTCTGTGTATTGGCTCTTGATGTTCCAAGATTCTTTTGAATATTTTCATTTCCATCTTATGCTTTGTCTCTTCAGGATATTTATCTGAAATCTTAGCAATTTTCACAAAAATATCATCTATAACTTTGCCTCCGTTACCTAGAAAACAATTTAACCTCTGCTTTGTGAGATCCATGGTTTTAGAATCAAGATGTACTAAGGATAAGCTCATTACCTTAAACATATTGTCTTTTGTAACAGTTAATGCCTTTAATACCGAACCCTACAAATTTGCCAAGGTTTACCTGATTCTGTTCTGTCTTATTATCCCATATCTAAGTAATTTCTTGTCACGCCTCTTATTTAACAAATCCCGAAACCTCTATTACTTCTTGCCAGTCATATCCTGGGGCTTTATGAGAATCCTCCAGAGTGTGAACCTTGCCTAGATCCTTCCTAAATCTAGATTTAATATCTTTGAGGTTAACTAGCCTACGCCTCTTAGTCTCATATATGTCCCATAATTTATGAATAGAAACGTGAGAAAGTATTTTATTAACTGTGTCCAAATAAAATTTCCTCAATAGCTTGAAGAACCTGGATGCGATACCTTCCTGTTTGCAACAATTCAAGGTCAAATGGCATGAGTAACTTAAAGTGGTCTTCATTGTTCGGCTGTAGTTGGTGGGTTGAAGTAGAATGTAGATCATAATGCCTCGAGTAGCACAGATATGGTGGCAACGACCGTGTAAAATTATTGAACCGGGCAGATAAGAAACGGAGCCTTAAGAGAAAGGGGGAGATCCTGGCAGGGCCTGGAGGAAGAGGATTGCGAACTAAACTGCAGCCTTGGATCAAAACTCCCAGCACAGTGAGAAAGATGTAGGAACCAGCGGGGAGTGTAAATAGGTTTCAACCAGGTTTAGATAAACAAGTAAACATTATGATAAAGAAGGGGTGATACGAGAATATAGGATAGGGGAAAATACTAGGACAGAATGAAAGAAACCACAACTATTTAGCAGACAATTGGTTAAAAGATCGACTTCACTTGTTTCTTTGGCCAGTTGTAGTGTGGTTCTAAGACTGGCAAGGCTCACTGACGATGCTGACTACGAAGCCGGCGAAACGTCTGGGAATGTATCAACTCCACGGTCCGACTCTGGAAATTATCAAGCATACTATGGACTCCTAGAAGTGTTCCTCTAGGTCTTCCTGCAAATATGGCCAAGTTGCGAAAATATCTTTGAACGACTTTTATACAACGAATGGATACCGTGGCCATATTTAAGGCAAAACAATCTTGATCTTTATACCTTCGATTGAAGAAATTTCTGTTTAGCTCGTCCCTTTGATTCAAGCTCGCTAAGTTGATCTAGTTCAGGTAGTGCTAAATATGCATCTGAATCCATACATCCACGGTATTGACTCATCCTTAACCTCACTTTGTGACATCACAACGACTAGCAATTTATGTAGGTCTTGTCATCTGTCTTCTCGTTACACGAAAACCAGCAAAAATTATTCACAGACAATTTTTTACATAGTTCTACCAATATGGAATTCGATCAGGTATCGAGTCGGTTTATTAAGGCTAGGCTTATGGGAAGTAGTAACAAGTTGAACGAAATAATTAGAACACTAAACGTATATCTGGTTTTGCATAAAAAGGATTTCTTATCACATTACACACTATGGATAGCGGTGTATAAAAATCTACCTAAATAATGATTATGAGAGATTGTTTGACCTTGTTTTCGCAACATGGTCATATTGGTAGGAAGACTTAAAGGAACGCACATAGTCCGGAGTCCATTGCCTGCATGATCATTTCCAAAGCAGAATCGTTGGCGTGGTACATTCCCAAACGTTTCGCCGGCATCGTCAATGAGTATCGCCAGTCCTAGCACCATACAACAACTCGTCAAAGAGACAAGTGAAACCGATCCTTTGACCAAATGTGTGCTAAACAGTTATGGTATCTTCCCTTCTGCCCTGGGTTATTCGCATTTCCTGTTTCATCCTATCATACCTTCACTATTACAATTTGTACTGTGTTTATTTAGATATAGTGTGGTGTGCTCCTTTGAGCGACATGAAACTTCACACCCCCCTTCATCCTTGTGCAGGTAATGTTGATCAGAGTCTGCTTTATTATTATGCAGTCCTCTTTCCTAGTCTTATCCCAGTCTCTCTCTTGCTCCATAAAATCCGTCTGCTCCACCCCTTGTTCAGGGTAGTAATAGGCGTACTGTTAATAGTGTAGTGACTTTTACTACACAATCAGTTTGGCTACATCTCACCGTTATCTCCCGACTCATGCATGACTCACCGGCACTGTGTCCCACGGGGTCTAGGCCAATCCAGTTACCGCATGTAGCCTCGTCGTTGGGCAAATCAGAGCGTGGCACTAAAAGTACTCAAGAGTATTTTAAGGCAGTAACTCCCTCGACTGACAATCTTCGCCCCACCGCTCCCTTGATGCCGTCGTTGCCCTCTGGGACCAGACACTGCCCTCTTGCACCAACACCGCACTCCAGCATCGTCTGAGTTTTTCCCACATAGAGATCCTCGCCTGCAACCTCCTTTCTTATAGACAAGGCACTCAGTGACTCGTTTTCTTGTTCTCTTATACAAGGCTGGGGTATTCTATACGGTAGTGCAAATCCGAGCACATATTTATAGTGAATATTTTATATTCACTAAAATATAATTGAAAAAATAACGTAATTACTTTATCCGGTAAAATTATTTTTGATAATGTGGAACTTTTTTGGGAAAGAGGAATGAATTTCGATCAACCACACAAAGTAAATAAATATTTCTAATTGTTGGGCAAATTCACTTAGAATTAGGCTGACTGATGAAATCAAGAATAATAAATAGCTGAAACGACTAGGGAGTTATGCCAATGAAATTTTGTGTTTCGAGTAAGGTTGTAATAAGCTAATTGTGGCAAAAACAGATGATGCTGGAGCAGTCGTGTCCATGGTCAGGTAAAGCATATCATGAAGGGTCCAACAAATGGGCGAAATGTAAGGGCAAAGGTGGCCATAAACGACTGCTGAAATAATGAGCAAATTGGGAAGTGGAAGTTCAAAGGGCCACTTAAGCTCTCAAGGCTTACGGCCTTTCAAAAGTGCATGAGGAGACGGCTTCTCTCAGGCTAATTGTAAAAATATAAAGGAAATGTGAGGCCTAGCAACCCAAGTTTTTTATGTATAAAATTGAAAAGTGACTAGAATTTTGGCTTTATTCAGTTCAAAACTTTTATGATTTCATAAAATTAGTTTATGAGCAAACTATTTTAGGGTGTATACTAATAAGATTTAATGTATGTTCAATGTACGTCTATATTCAAATTTAGAGAACCATTAACCCTCTAGTCTTAACTCAAGGGGAGTTTCCAGG